TATACAACATGAATGGCATCAACCTCAAGAAAAAATGCCTTCTACATAGACAATCAAATAGACAAAATCATTCTGTACCTGTGGTCCTGTTCCAGGATCCGCTACAAAACTCGCGGCATCGACATCGTAAGCCCCTCATGGGCCCAATGTCCCAGGTTAGTGACAAATCCGAAAATGAGTGGCCTCGACCCTCATTGCGTCACACAGTGAGTTGGGCATGATCCTCTGATTTCAAGTATATGCACTACAGAATGACCCCCCATTTCAAGTATCCTCAAGGCCGTGCATTTGGGAGAGGTTATTCGCACGGGGTTTTTCAAAAAACATCCAAAGTGAGAGGGGCATCGACACTCGATGTTTCTATGGAAACGCAGAGGTGAAATTAACTATTATGGATTAATTCCGAAAAAGCACCAACAACGCAAAATCTCCCCACCAACTAACTTCTATATCATCACCGCAAGCAAATCTATCTCCAGAACCGCAGAACGCGTTAAAAACTACCGCCCAAAAGGTCTTCAGACCCCAGAAAAAAAAAAATACGCTCGTCGCTCGTCTCGACCACGCGATGATCCGCCACGCCACGCGATGAGCCGCGCCGGGAACCGCCGTCTTCCAGCGGCTCACCTGGACGTCCGACGGCGCAGGGGCTCCCGGACCGGTTCGGGGCGATCCAGGTTCTTCGGGCCATGCGGAGGCCGACCAGAACGAAGGAATGAGGAGGAAGGTCTTAGGTCTTAGAGACTGACCAAAGCCTTTCCCCTAAAGAAACGAAGGTCGACGTGGGTCTGGTTTTGGATAGAGAATGCTCCAAATTGGTGGGGCCTTTTCCGAGAGTGAGACGCGATTCGGCCTTTCGGCTGCCTCCACTCCGGAACGCTTCCAAATCCCAAAATCACACCAGCTCTATGGGACCAAAACCGCTAGAAGCCTCTACAAAGCGTTCAAGCCAAAGGGGCTCGCCAAGGCGTCGGTGTTCTTTAAGGGGTTGGGTTGGGACAGCTTTCACAAGAAGGAGCCCCCTCCCAAAGTCCACCCCTTTGACCCGCGGAGCAGAGCAGACATGACTGGCGCGGGTGGTTGGGTGGTTCGACCGTCCGGAGCAGCCTCCGCGGTTCAAGAAACCTCAGCCCAGCCGCACCTGGCAGCCCTTCACCTCACAACACGCCCAAAACACACCGCCTTCGAGCCATACCCCAGACCTCCGCCGCTTCGGCCACAAACGAGCCGAGCCACAGGCCCCGCAGCTCGGAGAAGCCCCAGACGCCCAGCTCGGGCGATGCAAGGTGCGCGGCGCGGGCTCCGGAGCTCAGCGGGCCTGGCGCACGCCCCGCGCGCGCCCCGCGCGGCGGAGGAAGGGAGTGGTGCCCCAAGGGCTGTGAGGTGCCCCGGTCTGCGAAGTGGCCAAAAACCCTCAAAGCTTTAAAGACCGGAACTGCGAAAGGCCGGAAGTCGTGGATAAGATGCGACATAGGATGTCACATAGGATGCCCAAAAGGGCAGTTCGATTGATCTAGGAACTCCTAAGGGTGTTTCACAGTCCACAGCTCACATCAGTCACCTCTCGGTCTCGCTTCGCATCGCTTCGCTGTGACATCGCCTGTGGGATCCAACCAGCCCACATCGTAGTCCAGTCGGTGGGCAGTTGGTGGCAGCCGACCTCAGACCGGAGCAGGTTGATATTGTATTTGTTTACATCTATCTATTGAGTCTATCCTTTTCCCAGTAACAGTGGATGATGATGGTTGCTAAAGGCCTTTCTTCAAAATAATGATCTGCTTGTTTACGGGTCCTGTTACAGGTCAGTTCGGACGGAACCATATATATAATATCATATAATAACATGTAAGAGAAACCTCCAGAAGTTGTCCAGTGGTTTTACGATCCTTGGGCACCACCAAGAAGCCATGAACATCACCCACTAGTTACTTCGCATTCTGTCCTTCAATCGTCAGACCTGGACTCATCAGGAAAGAGATGCCCTGATGCTCTATGCGTGAGATGGGAGGCTTGATTCGGCTTGATGGCATTGCCCCTGTCCGTCCAGTTCAGCCGTAGGTCAGGGGTCGGACATGACTAGGATCATCTTCGGTGAGTCATCTTTGGGGTCATGAAAATGGCTCAACAGCCCAAAGCCAGCCATCTACCTGCCAGATCTCTCCCGAATCCCATCATCCCTACCAGAGGCATCTGGACTTTGGTGACTCATGTCCTTTGGTTCAGTGGGCCTTGTAGGGATGATGTCCTTGTCCTTCCCCAAAACATCCATGCTCGGCCGGAGGACCAGTTTGACCAAATCAAGTTGGACCAATGCTCGGAGGCGCTTGGAGACATGAAAGAAATGACATCCCCTAGGGCTCCTGGCCCACCTCCTGAGGTTGGGTGGTTGGGGTGGGTGCCAGGGGGATCTAACCAGTGAACCTGAGGAGATGGTTGGAGCCCTAGGGATCATGTATTCCATATGGTTGTGGGTTCATGGCACTTGGGTACCCTGCTTGACCCCAGCGCAAAGGAACAGATCCCTTGGTTCAAAGGGATGTCAACCTCCCATGAGGCAGGTGGGGCAGGTGGGGTGCCATGACTCACAATCAACACAAACGCATAGTGCTTGAACATCTGCAACTCCAGCTTCAAACTGGAAGAAGGGCAAAGCCTGGTAATGGACAGTCAGTGCAGGCAAACCACGTAACCACTTCAATCAGCCACTTACTTGCTTCAAGTGCGTCCACTCGTCCAAGAAGGGACCGAATACAAAGGGACTAGGGAACCGAGTGCCGTTCTCACGATCTTTCCATACGTCTTCCCGGGAACGGATTCCTGGCCCCGACCATGGGATGTCACGCCAAAAGGGAAGAATCTGCTGCTTCCAGCAGTCAGAAGAACGGTAAGGGGTGCACTCCATGGAGCTTCGGAAGTGCAACCTTATCCACATTCACTCACTGGATGGGACGAGCCACAGGAACCCCATCACTCTAGTGACCCCTGGTTTCAAAAGTCCAGTCGCGATGGCTGCCGCCTTGGCCTTCAGCCTTTCCCAGCGGCACCTGCGAGGAACTTCACGCACGTCGCAGGCGAGCGAGGGTCTGAAGTCGGGAATCTGCCTGAGGAACTTCTGAGGAACTATGCCATGGTTCCATGCCTCTAATCGAAAAAAGACCATCATGTATCGGGATCTATATATATATATATATGTATATATATATATATACCAGCTTCTTCAAAGTGACCTTTTGAAGGTTTCTAAGTGACCCTACTCGGAGGCTTAAGTGACCTCAAACCAGGTTATCAAGTTTGGTCACTTTGAAGAACCAGGTGATCTTCTTCAGCTTTCATCCATCGCGATCTCCGGTCGTCTTTAGGTCAACCTGGCCAGTGGTAGACAGCCTTCCAAACGCTCCCAGCCTCTAAACCCCCCAGAAAAACGGGAAAAAAAGGTAGACAAGGAGAGCAATGGTTCCCCCCATGTGTCTTGGGAATTTGCAGGGGTCCTGCAGTCCTAGTAGGTCCTAGGGTCCCGTTTCCGAAGGTTCTCGCAGGAAAAAAAACGGTGCGATTCCCACGTGGATGAGGGCCTCTGTACCCCCAGGTGACTCCAGGCCATCAAACCAGCGTTCTTTAGATCAACCTGCCTTTGACAGCTACGAAATACAGTGAAACCGGGTTCCACCCCTTCCTCCCCGATGAAAATGCAGCCCGTAACTCCATCTCTCACCTTGACCCCAATCCCAGATCGAGGCACATAGGGCACGTGAGAACTTTCCCAGCAACCCATCTCTGTGACCCAAATGCCAGCAGCCGCACGTGCACGGGCACGTGGTCTTGGCGCGGAGAGACCGCGGTCTCACGCCGTTCGTTTTTCGGGGTCGGCGCGTGTTGAGCCACACTGCCCGGCAGTCTCACTCGTAAACATTTCAGCCCAAAGTCCATGAACTATGATGCTGTTCAGGCATGAGAGGCCCTGCTTCAAAAATTAACCATGCAAAAATGTGCCTTGCTAGTGTGTTGCTACGTTGAGAACTGGCTTACTATGTTCAGAACCGCCATGTTTTTGACACTGAGCTGATACCCGCATTTTCCAGATTTTTTTACATGTTCTTTCTTACACCCGGGAAGATTAAGATGGAAGCTGACAATGCACCTTTGGAAGACTAGCAAACCAGTGGTGTTCAGGCTCTATGTGGGTCTCTTCCAGGGTGTCATATTTTTTCGATGGTGGACCCACAGGCGTCGAAGGTGGACCTTTTCCGCTGAACCCACGCGGTTGAGGTGAAAACAGCACGTGGATGGGAGAAATCATGGGGTTTAGGTTTAGGGTGTAAACCCTATGGTTTGTTCAACTCCTCCAAACAACCCTATACTCCCCACAGTTTTTGTTGACACAGGTCTCCCTCTGCATGTTCATGCGGCGGGAAAAAAAAATAAAAAAACGCGTCCGACTGCGTCGACTTCTTTTGCTCAGATCGAGCCAGCAAATGTTTGGGCACGGGCTTTACATAGCTTTACAAGACTCTACAGTGCTCTACAGCTGCTGCCACTCGACTCAAGCCCAGCTGACGAAACAGCGGCTAGAACAAAATGAACTAAACTACGGCGCAGGGTGACCAACTCTTACCGTTTTGATCAAAGCCGCAAATTTTGGGTCATGCAATGCAAAGGAGTGCAAATCTTCCTGTGGCGCAATCTTCCTTGGCTTTGACAAACAAAATGAACCCGAAGAATAGAATAGAAACTCCCCTTCTCAGCGGTTAGGGTTAGAGCGGTTGCAGTCTTGCACACAAGCGAGAGTTCGGACTTCTGACTGGAAAAGTGTCCAAAAAAATATCCAAACTTGTCCAACATATCCACGGCCAAGCTTCGTTGGATGTGCTTTCAAGGTATGCTTAAGCAGAGACCTTGGTCAAAACAAGCAGCTCGTGATTTCCTTGCAAGATGGATTGCTGCGCTTGGCGCGCGCGAGCGCTTCGGATAGCTCTCGCCCTTCGTCGGCAGCTCGAGCTGCATCATTTGAAGTTGCTGTAGCTGTTGTAGCTCAAGGATGTCTGATAGAAGACAGGACCACCCACTCCTTTCCACGCCAAGCAATTGAGACTGAAGAGTCGCGAGGTGGCGATTTCACTTGCGAATGCTCGCAAGCGGGCACAGAGGATGGGGGTTTTCTCCCAACGCTTTGGATGGTTCTGCTCGAAGGCATGTTCAGCACCGCAGACTGAAGGAAGGACTATAAGAAGTTGACGGAAAAGAAACGGTTGTAACGGCTTCGGAGGAAAGAATGAATGCCCAGCAAGCTGTGTTCCCGGACTACGGTTGGTCAATACATCTTCCCAAGAAACATGCCTACAAGCATAGGTGGATTGAAAAGTACCACTCATGTACTACATGTACCGCCTTATGCTTGAGCCCCAACATCCACAAAACACACAGTCAAAACCTTCCAAAACGCCAAGGAGGTTCCCACCCATCACCTTTTCCAACTTCCAACTTCCCCCCCAGTTCCGCACCCAGTTCCGCACCCCCTGGTTTTCCACCAGTTACGGCCCTCGCCTTCGAACAAGTTCCGCAGCGACATCTCACTGCCGTTCGAGGCCGTGGAGGCCGTCGACTCAGAGGCGTTCCGCGCCACGGTTCCGCGCGGAGAGCTCGCCTCGACCGTCTTGGCCCTGGAGTTCCGAGCGGCGTGGCGGACCCTCCAGGCTGGGGTAGAACTGGAGGTGTGGGGGCGGGGGGCAGCTGGAGGGGCGCTTTTGGAAGTCGAATCGAAAAATTCCAAGGGTGCAGCCGCGAACAGCGTGGTTCTTGTTTGGGAAGGGGAGCAGGAAAACAAATGAACCGGTGAACTACAAGTACGTCGTTGGTACATGGCTTCTTCTCCAAAGTCTCGAACCCAAAGAAAACCGTAGACATTGCTGTTTGGCGCCCCAGGAACGTCTGCCACGTGCGAACCTGCGGCTCCGCCACGGTCTCCATGGTGGAAGAGGAGCAACCCATGGCGAGGATGAGCGGTTTCTCTTCTTTCGGCCCTTTGGAGCTGAGCTCGCGTCGCTGCTCGGCTGGCTCGCGGCGGCGGGCGGAGTGGTCCGTGGGTCGGGGCGGGTCAAGGAACGCTTTCTTCGAGTCTGACTCGTCAAGAGGTGGAACTGTTGACTCGTCACGGGGTGAGAGGTCACGATTTGGGGGAGGAGGTCACTTGGAAGCCTCCGCCACCAAGTTCGGGTCACTTGGAAGCCTAAGAGGTCTTTTTTTGTGACCATGGTGGCTGGATGGGAACTGCGATTTTTTTCGAGGCGATGGTGGGGATGAGGGGCCGTTTCACCTGATGCCCTTCCAGTCCAATCAACTAACCCTACCAGTCCAAGGGCCAAGTTTAACCTGGTCCGACCGACCTCATTTAGTACTGGTGTTGCATTTTCCCGGACCCAGTCCAATGAGGTCCTTGACCTGTAGGACGTCTAGGGTAAATTTGAATCATGGTCTGATGGAAGAAGTGGCCGGTTCATGGAAGAATCTCTCCTGGAAGTCCAGGAATGACCCATGTTGCTTCGAAAGTCCCCCCTCTGATGACCAATCTACCACCCCTCCCCCCATGGCTGAAGCATGCGGTTTCACCAGGTGTGGCACCCTGCGGCTAAGCGCAGACTTGTCATGTTCCGCTGAAAAACCATCCACCACAACTGGGCTGCTCCAAACCATGGCAGAAAACAAAACAAAAAGAGACACGCTCTCTTCGAGCCTCCCTTCGATTCTGGGCGTCTTTGACAAACACTTCAACCATCGCCTTCGCCCCAAAACAGGTGGGTCTGCGTCCCTGTCTGCCGAGACAGAGGTAGCCAGCGACCGGGACCTATATAGGACCCGTCACAGTGGGGTACCTGGCCTGGGATAGTCGAACTAGTGTCCTTCAACCTCTGTTCTTGTGTCCCTCTGTGTCCGACCTTCCTCCGACCTTCATGGCCTTCTCCATCTGTTCACCTGTCGCCTGGTCGCTCCGCCCGCGGCCCGCGCGCGACCCCGCGAGGGAGGTAACAGCGAGGCCCGGGCAACGAGAGCTTCGAGGTTCCAAAGCGCCTCGCGCGCTCCTGGGACCCGACGGCAAGTGAGGTGGAAGGGAGAGGGGGGGGGCAAGTTCTGCGTTTGGGCCCACATAGATCAGAGGATCGGCGGATGAGGATCGGCTCTATGGATCCCAAATGAAATTTAGACCATCAGCTGATGTAGACAGACTGCTGTTTTTGTTTTTTTAGACGTACCGTGCTGGTATATTCGGGTTTGCATTTATCAATCAAAGAGTCCACCTGAGTCATTGTTTGCTCGGTCTTTGCTCGGAGTCTTCCAAAAAACCCACTCAGGTGTGCACTTGTTGGATGAATTCCAGTCACCTTCAGATCGGATGTCCAACCAGCCTCTGACTTCCCGAGCCTTTGTCCGACCAGTCTCGGACCGCCACCGCAGAGCGGCAGAAGCCACGTGGTAGGAAGCAACAGCGGCATGTCTTAAGACATATATGCCAGGAGTCACAAAGGGGTGCCGAACTTGGAGGCTAGTGGTGCCCATTATCTACTCCACTCCACTCACTGGATGGGACCAAACACCACCCCGACATCTGACCCCTGGTGCCTATAACATCCTATAACCCCACCTCAAGGAAGAAGTTGGCGACTTGAAACATATTCTCCATGCATCCTTCAGCCGTAGATGTCACAAAAGGACTTGCAGTACAAGATCCCCCGGGTTGTTCAAAATACCAACCAATCCCAAGATACGATTCTGCTGCACTTGCCCATGCTTTACGTCCAATGTTGTGCGGCATCTGGGGCTCTGCACCAGCGCGCCCAAGCTTTCTTCAACTTCTACCTGGTGAAGGAAGAGGAGACAACTTGAGACAACAGCATGACTAAGCCACCATAAGCCACCAGCAGAGGTGGGTCAGAACCCTATAGACTATCCTATATATAGGGCCCTGTTGACGTTCACTGGCTACCTCTGTTGCCACCTCTTCAGCACGTCTTCGGAAAAAGAACTACGGCCCTCCAACTAAAATGGAGCCCGGGAAGTCGTGGTGGAGAGGGGCATGTTCTAAACAGTTTTCTTCACAGTTCCGCGGTTTGACTAAGCAGTTTGACTAAGGATGTGACACGACCAAAACAGCTCAACCTGAACCTTCAAAGGGGTGTCCTGTCTGGAGATTTGTAGGGATCTGGTATGGGGCTTCCAACCAGGTGACCCCGACATGAAGGTGCTGGAATATGTTGTTTTCAGATGTGTTCTTCCTAATCCTTGGACTGGGTGGACCTTCTGACCAGGAGGTCTACTGTACGGTCCGGATGCTGCACTTGCTGGCTCTGTCGGGTGTCCGACATCCTCAGCCATCGATTTGGACCGACATCAGGACCTTCCAAATCCGGAGGTGTTTGAACAGCCCTTTACCTCTAAGAGGCTATTTTTTTCGGCACCTCTTGGATGGTCCAGGAAGTGAAACACATCAACGTTGCCTCAAACAGTACTTGTCGATGTGCGACTTGTGATGTGCCACCTATGTGTGGACTGTATACGTGACCACCTGTACAGTGTGTTGCGACTGTAAGTGGAGATGAAAAGGATTGAAAGAATTTAATGGGGCGCAGGGGACCTGGTATTTGGGCGGCGAAGTGATCCTGCATCTCCTCTCCAATTCTGAAGCTCGATGCGAATCGTCTCTTGAAGGTCTTCTATTCGTCTCAACAAGGCAGGTTCCTAACACACAGCTCAACATGCCAGATGGCTTTTATATATTCAAAAAAATACTTGGTTGTTGGTTCAGGAAGAATCCAGAACCAGAAACTACCAGGACCTCCTTGTAGGTAGCAAGACCCTATTTGTGGAAACTTGAGCAAAGTCGTTTTTTCGATCTAGAATCTCGAGCAAAGGATGTCCCTCTTCAACAGTCTTCACAGTCTATCCACGTCAAAACCCACCCTGGACGTCCAAGACCCCAAGACCAAAGAAATGATTGACCTGGTTTTCTAGCGTAAAATCCTTAAAGTACAGTCTACAGTACCAGGACCGAAAACCAAGAGGTGTCTGTAAATAGCCTCTTAGAGGTGACCAGGAGGTGTCCAAAAAGCACCGGACTTGGAAGGTCCCGAAGGTCCCGGTATAAAGCAATCTTTGTTCGGAGAATGATTCAACCCATTGAATCCATGCTGGGCTAAGGACTGCTACAGCCCCCCCCAAACCTCTGGGCGCTGACGCAGCACGCTTTCCTCTGGACATGGAACCCACCAACAGAGGTTGTTCTGCGATTTTACGACCTGAAAATGGGACGGCTCTTCCCCTACCAGATTGGGGAGACTGTCAACTCCAGCAGTTCCATGTCGGAAGGAGATGGATTTGGAGCGATGTCGGTAGCGCCCAGGTGTGGGGTTCTGGGACGTCGGGACCCCCCCCCCTATCCTCCGGAGATGGTTCCGCGCTTTGGGACGGAACCTCTCAACCAGGTCGGTTTCTCTCAACCTTCGTTGGCAGATTCTGGTGGAACACCGAGCAGTGCTCAGACCGTCTTTTGCTCTCCACTCATGGTGTGAAAGCCTACGAGTACGACTCCAGTTGCACGGCCAATCAAACGCTTCTCAGGAGTAGAAACCTGAGCCCGTGGAAAATCTGCGCGAAAAAGCGCCTCAATCACACACACCAATGTCTTGTGTCTGTGTGTGTCTTACCTGGGAAAAAAGAAAGGCCGGAAAATTAAAACAGAGATCCAAGACTAGTAAAAGAAAGATTGACCTCCAGAAAATTCACCTGTCGGGGTTCCTGTGGCTTGTCCCATCCAGTCAGTGGATGTGACGACGGGGCACCTGTACTCCTTCCTCCATTGGTTCGGCACCCCTTACCTTGTGACTGCTGGGCTCTTTCCTCTAAAAAGGCTTTCGGAAAAAGAAAAATCAAATCCAACTGTTCACCCAGCTCGGGCCAATCGCCCATGAAATTGATTGAATATCTGATGCTTTTGCGGTCTCGCCGAGACCGGCCGGCCGGCAGCTGTACCGCGGCCCAAAGAGACCGAGCTCGCCGCACGCGGTGCCGGCCTCGCCCGGGCGGGAGGAGACCTCGCGGCGAGGCTGGCAGGGAAGCCCCGCGCGGGGACCGGCGAAGGACCCCGGGAGTTCGCCCAGGACCGCGTTCATGGCATATAGATAAATATAGGCTGTTGGAGCACCAAGAGAACACCGTGCGCAAGAGTGAGGATGTATAGTCATACAACTTCAAGGAATACCTTGACTTGAAGGATGTCCTACCTCGAATGACCTTCGTCCAATCGTTCGCTCATGAGTTGTGCCAATCCTTCGAACGGTTGGACCTTGGCCAGGTGCCTTAAACCGATGAAGCCGTGTAGCCGTGCAACCGCTATGTGTTGCGCTTGCTATGGTGATCCCACATCCCAGGAACTTCCTGAAAAACTTTAAGAGTCGGTCGAAAGGTGGACGACTTGGTGGACTTGGTGGACTTGGAAAAACGGGGTGGCACACGACTTGAGGTTCTCCCTTTTGGTATCCTTTTTGCCATAAATCCACCAACCGCATGGCCATAGATCAGCCCAGGGGACCGACCGGAGACTGTCGGGAGACCCTCCGAAGTCCAAAAGGTCATGTCATGAGTCATGGGGCCTGTCCACATGAGACGTACCCCTCACCATGATTTGAATGGCCTGAAAACCGAACCACCAGCTGTTTTACTTCAGGATATTTTTACACTACAGGTCACCACCCAGATCAACCATTTAAACAAATGGTCGGACTTCCAAGCTACGCTCCCCCCCTGCCCTGGCTGGATGGGCCCCCCTACACGGCTGGTGGCGCTGCGGAACATGAGCTCTGGGTCGCCTCTGACGTCGAGACAGCGGGGTGGATCGAACATGTACCAGTCATGACTCCCCAGGGCTCCGAACAGACCACCTCCTGAACTTGGAATGTATGGGTTATAACTACAGAATCACAAACCAAAAAACCCTCCAATGTATGGAAGTTTCTACCTGCATGGACCCCTTCTCACCCCTTTTTTACAAGCATGTATAGACTATATCAACCAAAGACTGCAGGCTTATTGACCAAGGACCTGTCTCGCCGGGTCCCCAGTGGGCGGGTCCCCACTCCGGGCTCCAGCTGTTCGGCCCGAAAAGGTCGAGCACGACGGGGGCGCCGAAGGAAGGGGAGCCATCTGTCAACCTACCTGTCCCCAACAACAAGTGCTCTGCGGTTTGGAGAACCAAAACGACCAGGCGACTAGGTAACTAGGTAGCAGTAACTGTATTGAAACATGAAGACCTAAAACACCGAAGAGATACCACCCTTCCTGGTTCCAGTGAGTCACTATGACACGATGATTGTCCCGAAAATATGTCAAGTTCTTGCGGACGACCCCCGACCCAAAAATGGCCTTTTCGGTTCGAATGCTCTTTTCGGTGTTTGAAGGGGTTCACAACCGGACCTCCCCAGTCCGTGCATGTCCCCAGTCCGGGTTCGACACCGGACCTGCCAGTCAACGATGGATCCCTTTTCAGGTCACCCATTGAGCAACAGATTGAAGTGGCCTCGGTTTGGAGTAATAATAGCCCCTTAGATGCGAAGGGCTGTCAATGAACCACTCCGGGCCCTGGTATTCTTCACGGTGGCCACGAGGCAAGTCGTCGACACAGCAAGGTCTTGACAGACTTGCCTTTCCAACAGAGGTGGGTCAGAAACTGACTGTTCGACTATCCGAGGTGGACCGGGATACCCCAGGTTTTGTGCGGGTCCTATTGACGTCTCTTGGGCTTCCAAGGTCCCACCATTCTGGCCGAGTGCTCATTGATTGGCCCACGGTCTCTCGAACCTCCCACAGTAACCCCCCCCCGCTGCCCGCACGGAAACGGCGCGCGCGCGCGCGGTGCTTCCATCTACGGCCCAGCGGCTCGGAAAAGAAAGAACTGGTGAAGAGACTGGCCAGGTGAAGTCGGCGCCCCAAAAACCGAACTCTCAGCATCTCATCTGGAGGAGAACACAGCCTGGACGTCTCGTTTTCGACCGTCTCCCCAACCACCCGGTCCGACGCCGTCCACGGGCGATCCGTCCGCGCCACACCACACCAGCGCCTTTCAACTGGGCTCATGGGCCGCCTGGACAGCGTTGGTTCACGAGCGATGGAGGTGAGGTGAAAAGCGCTCGGGAGTGAAGAGAAGTGGTTCCGAAGTGGGCTTGGGATCGAAATTCAGGGGTGATGTTTGGCTGGTTAAGGGGTGATGTTGGAGGAATTATAGTACTGAACAAAGGGTTTTGGGGGGTGCGGAAACTTACGTGGATTGGCCACATCCCAGGACTGTGCTGGGACAAGTACCTCGGTGGATTCACCGTTGACGTGGAGATGACGAAGTGTTCCCGAATCAGGAAGTCATCTCAGGTTCCAACGGGCTCCTCCCTGTTTCCAAGGACCCCAGGAAATGAACAGCAACGATCCTGACAAAGATGGAATAAGAACATCAACTCTGCCATGTTGTTCATGTAGCGTGGAAAACTGTCGAGATGAAGGGGCATGGACTGGTGGGCAAAACCAAGAAGATCCTCCGAAACCAAAAGGGATGCCTAATTAAATAATTACGAGAATCACCTGGACGTTCTGGTCTGATGGAAGTTCAGCTTCGGATGTCCATGATCTGATACTTGGAGGAGTGACTCTGTCTATGTTGCCGCAACACCTCCAAAAAGGTTCAATGACGGCGGGCTCAAAATCAACCCTCCAGAGTCAACATGAAAACATGGACCATCAAAATGACGAAACCCCCGGGCGCCGCGGCGTCGTCCACGGCAAGGAGACCGCGAGACTGAACCACCCGGCCTCAAAGAGCTCCATCGGAGTCGGGCGCGAAGTCACCGAGTGCCAACCGCTGTTCCCACGTCTCCCAGAAGACTGGAATCTACTGGGTGTTTGTTTCATGCAAGCTGTGGTGTCCCACCTCAATTCCAATGCATGTCCTCTTGGTGCTACAAGAAAACAGCTACGAGCCTGCACCAGCAATGCGCTCTCTTCGTTGGAAGAGGAAAAAAAACACCGAGTTCATAGGCTGAATCCCCAAGCCCCGAGCTGGTGTGATAGGATCTTACACTGCAGGACCGGGTTCTTTTCACCTCCGCCACCGGGGCGCGCGGAGTCTCGGCGTTCGGCAACGGTCGCCGGGTGGGAAACGGACGCAGATGACGCGCCCATTCAAAGGCGAGCTCCTAGATCTCGGATGGATTGGAACGGAATAAGCAGGGAACTGCGTCCGAAGTGTGAAAAAAATGAAGCCTTGGAGACGGGATGGTTCGGGCTTCACACGGTTGTTAAGGGACTGCCTCCTACAGTCCAGGTATGGTTTGATCGAACATCCTAACATTGGAACTTTGGGAATGTCCGATCCAATGGTGGTAGAGCGAAGGTGGCGAAGCCCCGGCTTCGCCCTTTCACACGCCCAAGAGGAGCAGCCACTCATCACTACCTCCAGTGGTGCGCGTTTGTTCCGCCCCTCAGAATCACCCGAAGTCGGCACGGCACGGGGAAGTGCCCACTCATCCACCTGCGGAATACGCAAAAGGCACGTGGCATGGGAAGTAAAAAGATATAAAGATCAAATAGTAACAACTCTTGGCATATTCCCCGCTACCATTCATTTTTGGTCCTACGACGGATAGACACAAATCCTACCTTTTCTTCATGGTGCTGTGCTTTCCAGCTCCTCGGGGTTGGATCGTTTTCAGATTCTCAAAGCCAAGCTCTTGCGGTTCATACTTCGTACATCTTAGTACGCAATCCAATCCTAGAACAAGTGTCGTCAGAGCATGATGCTAACCGGTGCAAATTGTTCTCTGCGCAAAAAAATTACTCTGAAGGCTTGTAGACACAACTTCCTTGTATACACAAACAGCCCAAGCTCTCCCCATACGAAGTTCTTCTGCAGTCTTGTTGAGAGAGAGGACTAATTACTGTCTTGTTTGGGGGAGCACGATTGGACTTCAGAATCCTCACATGATGTTGATCGCAAGAGCAAACATACCACACTACAAACGGATGGTTTGCCGTCTCACGTGTTCAAACTCCAGGGTACTTCAACCTCATCATGTCGAACTCAAACTCCACTTCAAAACCTCATAACATCTGCCGAGATGGAGCCACGATGTTTCTCTCCAGAAGCCGCCTTCAAATCCACTGGCGAAACCATTCGCCCCAAAACCGCCCAACCAGGTCGAAGTTCCACGATTTCTCCAGCTCCCGGACGCCTCCGTGGGCGTCGCCAGCGTATAGGTTTGTAAGATCTTCATGCCTGGCGAGAGTACGGGGGACGGCCACCTGAGATGGGTCCAGCTTCAGAAATGGACCCACCCACCAGCGATTCATGAGTGGCCTGGCATAGAGGGAGGGTCCCTGAGGAAAATTGAATATATTTACTTGAGTCAAGAAGCTTAGGAGGAAACCCATTAAAAATATAACGCCTCACCTAAGGTTAAGAAAACCATTTAGCATATGTCTGATGGCTTTGCAAATGTAAAAAACAAAAAAGAAAACAATTATCGTGGCAAGAGACCCCAAACAGTGTGTGTGAGGTCTAGAGGTGTAGCAGCAGAAAGTCTAAAGATCTAGACGCATTGGGGTTCAGAGAGGGGACGGTGGTGATGTGGGCGGAGATCGTGGTGACGGTGGCGGTGGTTGTGGGTGAGTGAGTGTGACTGTGAGTGCGAGTGAGAGTGTGAGAGTGTTAGAGAGTGAGAGAGAGAGAGAGAGAGTGAGTGAGGGAGGGGGGGAGTGAGTGAGTGGGTGGGTGGGTGGGTGGGTGGGTGGGTTGAGTGTGAGTGTGAGTGAGGGGGTGAGTGAGTGTGAGTGCGAGTGGAGTGAGTGTGAGAGTAAGCGTGGGTGAGAGTGAGTGTGGGTGAGTGAGTGTGAGTGCGAGTGTGAGTGAGAGTGTGAGAGTGGGAGAGTGTGGGCCTGAGCGCGGCGAAATCTGCACTGATTTCGAGGTTCACCAAGTCCTGTACCTACCACGAAATCTGCACTTCAAGGTTCACCAAGCGCTGTGCCTGCCACGAAATCTGCACTTCGAGGTTCACAAAGTGCTGCGCCTGCCACGAAATCTGCTTCACAAAGTGCTGTGCCTGCCACGAAGGTTCACCAAGTGCTGTGCCTGCCACGAAATCTGCACTTCGAGGTTCACAAAGTTCTGCGCATGCCGCGAAATCTGCACTTCGAGGTTCACCCAGTGCTGTACCTGCCACGAAATCTGCACTGCGAGGCTCACCAAGTGCTGTGCCTGCCACGAGATCTGCACTTCGAGGTTCACAAAGTGCTGCACCTGCCACGGGATCTGCACATCGAGGGTCACAGAGTGCTGTGGAAACGAGCCACATGTCCAAAAGTCACGATTCACTGCACCTGTCACGAAATCTGAGCTCCTCAACGATCACCACGTCCAAAGCGATGCACCTGCCACGAAGCCTGCATTTCGAACCAGAACAAGCCCAATCTGTCACGAAAAGTCGGCTTTGGAGCACCAAAACACGAGGTTTCCCTTGCGCCTGCCACCACGAAAAGTGACCACCGTACCAAAATGCGCACGGCGCCACAACGAGAGCGCAGTCGCTAGAAGCACCCGCCGCGGGCCCCCAGATTCAGCGAGCCTGCGCAGTCGAAATGCCCATGGACGATGTCGAGAGGCATGAATGCACTGTAAATAGCAGCGAACTAGCCGCACACGCCCGCGCGCTTCAGCGATCTAAGCATCAGCTGCTTTTCTCCTACCATAAGAACCCCTAGTGTGTCCACACTGTTTGGGGAAAAATAACGTTCATCGAAGTCCCGTCCGCGGGCTCCGCGTCTGTGAGCTGCTGGATGGCTGGACGTCCGCCCTCGGTGTGTCCGGTGTCGGTGTCGGCTTTGAGCCCGGGAACCGCAGAGCATGGGGGGTGGAATAGTATTAAAGGAAGGCTATAGGCCTCGAGACCCGGATATGACGACGAAAAAGAGCACAAATCCAATGGCCCCCCCCTTGCGCCCCAAGCTGGAGCTTGATCAGGTAAGTCAACTCAGAAATGACTGTGGGTCAAAACCCCCCCAACCCTGGTTGACCGCGGATCAAATGAACAGATTCCCCTAACAGGGATTCTCTCAACCCAGGGTCCCTGGGGCTCGATCTCGGACCCACAGCCAAATGCGCCAAGGAGCCCTTTCGAAGTGTGAGACGAGGCTGTCTGGGTGAGAAAACAAAAAGCCACTGCCTAGCTTAGTAGCTATAAAAAAATAGAAATAGAATCAAAAAAAATTATTCAACGGGGATCAATTAAAAATAAAAAGGGAATCAAAAAAAAAATGTTCTAGCCCACTGAGGATGGTTGGGGTAGTAGTAGTAGTAGTAGTAGTAGCAGTAGTAGTAGTAGTAGTAGTGGTAGTAGTAGTAGTAGCAGTAGCAGTAGCAGTAGCAGTAGCAGCAGCAGCAGCACCAGCACCAGCGTAGCAGTAGCAGTAGCAGCAGCAGCAGCAGCACCAGCAGCAGCAGCAGCGCAGCAGCAGCAGGAGGAGGAGTAGTAGGAGTAGTAGTGGGAAGGACTAGGATACCAGGGGACCAGCGGACCACAGGACCAGAGGACCAGGAGACCGGAGGACTAGGGGACCAGTGGACTAAAGGACCAAGGGACCAGGGGACCAAAGGACCAAGGGACCAGGGGACCAAAGGACCAGTGGACCAGAGGACCAAGGGACCAAAGGACCAAGGGACCACATTACCAGAGGACCCGCAGACCACAAGGCCAGGAGAGCAGCAGAAGAGGCCTATCAAGGAATATTTATTTTTTGATTCGCTTTGTATTTTTTTTGATCCTGTTTTTATGTTTTTGATGCTCTTTTTTTTTTGATACCTATGCCCTATATCTACCTAGAACCTGAATGACCTCTATTTTGGACCACCAACCACCCAAAATATGGCCTTCTCCTATCAAAATAGGGGTCAATTGGGTTCCAGGTACTCTTATGAACCTGTTCCACCATGAACGTCTATCAACCGGACGACAGCGCCACATGGGTCGATTTGCGCCTTGGTCGAGCATGTGTCTCTTGCGCACCTTGCGTGGATGGCTCGCGTGGATGGCTCAGTCCACCGATTGGTTCACTCTCTTCTTTTTCGGCACGAAGCACCGCTGTCTATCTGAGTCCGTCGAAGAAATGGAAGATGACGTGACGAAATCGAAAGCGATTCTGATGGAAGAGGACAAGCCAACCAACAACTTGGAACCAAATGGATGCGTGTTTAACATAGGGAGCCTTCCCAGTTTGACCTCCTGGAGAAGGAAAATAGACCCATCTACCCCGCCAGGGAGGTCCCTCTATATTCAAGTACAAACCCAAGTACAAGCTAACTTACAGTTGAGAAGCCCTTGACAAAATCTGATCTGGATGAATGATCCGGCTTTGGGGTCAACAGCTCGAGAAGAAAGTCAAACTGTTGGGACTAGTTTGGACCTTCTTGGGAGACATGCTGTTCTCGGTGTGTTGACAGTGGCGAATGCTGCTCAAACTTCCAACTGCATAGTTCTGCACACGACTTCTTCATCAAGCAATTCGGATGGCCTCAAGTTCTGAAAGCTTGTCTTTGAGCTGCTGCACCTGCAAGACGACACTCACATTTTACGTCACTATCAGTATCACCTGTCAGCATTCCTTCACATCCATCCTTGGAACGAAGCTTGCCTGTGCTGCTTCAAGCGTTGAAACACCTATCAATTTCCCTATGGGAAAGCACTTCTTCGAGGAATCTGTAGATTCCTCTTTTTAGTCTGGTGTGATTCCTCTTCTTTTAGTCACACCCTCACCCATCTGAAATTGCATTGCTGCCTCGTGGCCACTCAAGAATGATCGATTCTTGTTCTTGCACAAATAAACCCAAAGAAGGGAGTGGTTCAACCAGAATTGTTCACACAGAACTTCTGGTTTTTCGAGGAGCGGTCGATTCTTGTTCTTACTTCAAGCCGATTCTCAAATCCGTTCGGTTTCCGTGTTCTCTTATGCCTCCTGTCTGCTCGTGTCACTGTTGATCCTCTCGGAATAAAACACGGCACATCTCTTCTCCTCCAGCAAGACCTGGCACTGATCGACAAAATTCAAGCAAGATCTTCAAACCTAATCGCTGAAAGCTCACACATTGTGGCGAAAGATCCTCTATCCAACATGATGGTTGTTCCTTTCATTCGGATCGCCACACACATAAGTCACAACTCCTTTCAAACCTGCCAGCAGTGGGTAGCTCTGTTTCATGACTTTCCAGCGTGCAAAACATGCCAGTGGACCTAGGCTGGAGCCTTCAGCCAGATCGGTACCAGATCGGTATATTCAGATCCATCAATTCAGATCATGATCCACTCCGGAAGAAATATTATGAAGTGGTGCACTTCTCCAAAGTTCAATCAGAAAACTGTGGCGAGGTTTCGGATCTACTCCAGAAGCCATAAGAAGTAAACCTGACAAGTGAAAGCAGTTCTACATAGATCTATGGCCCGAGCTATTCATCTTGGGCTCTCTTTTCGCCATTCCACGTCTAAAATCGACGGAACAAACCTGGCGCCCCTCCGGCATCGACTCGTGCGAAACTCACGCGCGCACGTGGAACGACCAGAGAGGACTCTACACCCCTCAGGGGCTTGATCATCATCTTCCACGCCTCTCCGAGTCTCCAGTCTCCCCTCAACATACACCACAGCTCGGAGTCATGCACTCTCTTGATGATCGAACAGAAGCCCCCCAAAGCCTTTTTTTCAGAGGTTGCCCACCATCCGTGTCTCAGAAAGGGGGGGGGCGATTAAAGGTTATTTGTGATTCATCTAGAGTCGCCAATTACTTGCCTTTTCCATCAAACACTCGCCTTCAGTCCGCCGGTCGATGGCGCTTCACGTTGGTCGTCGTGCCCGTCGTGCGCTCGCGCTTGGTCGTCCGCATGGAGCGCGTTTGTTTGGAATGAGAACCGTGAGGGGTTTTTCACGCAACCAGAAACATGATTGTCAACAGGATCGTTGCTGCATCACGGGAAAACACATTTACTCCGCTCATATCCTTAACTGCCTGAACCGCAACAAACGGGTATAATGGCCAGCACCACCCATTTTTATGTCACTCTTGGTCAAGAAAGGTTTTCCCAAGGATTTGCATTCATTTTCTGTTCTTGGCGTCTCAGCCAGTTGATCTGGAATGGCAGTCGTTTGTTGAACAACCCATCCCCAAGTGGTCTCGTGTCGGCAAAACGGCATCAGGAGTGTGCTTGGAAGAATTGCCAGTGGCTAGAAAACAAAGAGAAAAATTAATGCAACGCAAACAAGAAAACAAACAAACAAACAAAGAAACAAGCAAACAAACAAACAAACAAATAAATAAAAACAAATAAAAACAAACAAACAAGCGAACATAAGATAAGAACAAAGAAAACGGCGAAACATCAGCATGCCAAAAAAAAGAGAAGAAGAAGTGCCATCTCCCAACTCCCACCCCGAGCTCCCCCATCTCCAGCCTGGGCGCCTGGGCCTCCAGACTCTGGCAAGCGAAGGCTCGTTGGTCCAGTCATGGCGAAGCTCGTCCAAGCGGACATGCCGTCGGACGGTTCCGCGCGCACGGACATGCCGTGGCGAAGCGCGTGCGAAGCGAAGGCGAAGCGAAAGTGAAGCGTGTGTTTCGAAGCTCCACGAGGAGAAGGTGGTTTGTCTTACATAAGTCTGGTTCGTCCAAAATGGAGAAAAGGGCAGAATGCAGCAGTCGCATGTGAAAAAGACACATGAGATCATGAGATGACAAAGCATGCCAATTTAGTCAATCAAAGGTAGACCTTCAAGCACCAGCGCGACTGTTGTTTATTGTAATTTTTGGTGTTCAGGTGCTCAGTGGCTGCAAAGGTGGTTGATCACATGCATGACCTACACCTGCATAGCATCTAATTACGTGTTCACTCCCTTCAGCATTCATGGAACCGGCCGGCATGGACATCATTTGTACATGCAGAAAAGCTTCCACTTCGGCTCCCACGCTTGTCGCTCAAAAGATGGTTTTCAGCGCCGCAATGTTTTTTTCTGGTGTCTATGGAGTCAGCCTAAAAACTTATTGGCCTGGTCGCAAAAAGCTTTAAAACCACCAGGCCTCAGCCATGCCGGGCCGTAATGTGCCTGACCAGCTGAATGGCCAAAACTCGAGCCTGTGCCCAAAAATCTTCCACAAGAAATTGGATTGCATTCCTCCCTGTCCAACCAGAAACTGAAGGGAAGCACCAGGTTCGAGACGCAATGGAATCAATATCAGGGAATCCGGGATGGCTACAAGATTTGAGAATAAAAAGGAAACCGAACTTGCACCAATGGAAGCTTGAAATGGTAGGACCTGGACGACTTCCATTCCCATCCAACCATGGAGAAAATGTCGGACTTCCACACGCAGCCACCCAGAAAAGCGGTTGGATCGTCTAGCATGTACGCCAACCGGAAAAGGTCTTGGCTACATCTCCTATAGCCTGCTCAAGGATGGAGAAAAGGCCGGGTCACTGCGGAGCTGCCGTTGCGCCTGCGGCACGCTCGAGAGCGACGGCTGACTGCGCTCCCGGAATTGTTCAGAGGGATCCCTGCAAAGCAGTCTTCTGATCGCACAATATGAACGCTGTCATTGTGTGCAAAGGAAATACGGTCATCTTATCTACTCCAGGATGCTTTTACCAACTGAGGCACTGGCAGTGAAGCTCCTTCCAACTGTGCCACAGCTTCGAGGCTGTCTCTTGTTGGGCTCCCGCGTACGACTCCACAAGCCCGACCATCCTTTGCTTGGAATCTTGCAAGACCTCTTCATTGTGTGGCTGTCCCATCCCTGCCGAAGCACAAGTTCCAGAAAAGCACACCAAATCAATCAACGTCGCTGCAATATGCTGTGGGTATCCCCGTAAAAAGAAAATGAGAAACACGCATACGCATTCGCATTGCAAAATGCAGCATGCGTGCTTACTGCACGTCCTTACCTTCGCTTTGGAATCTCTCCACCAGCATGTCCATCTCATCAAAGAGGACCCAAATTTGCTGCAGCATTTGCCCAAAAAGGCCCTTCTGCAAGGCTGAAGCCACAGCCGCTTGCACACGCACGAGTCCTGCTCCAGCATCCAGCAAGCTGATTCAAACGCAAGCGGAAAGGCTTGGTGGCTATAGTCGCAAGTTTGCAAAGACTGGGCTGAGGCTATGGCACAACCTTCAAAAGGTTACAGTAGATTGAACACACATTGCTGGATGTTATTGTCCTCTAATTTACAGGCATGGGAGATTCTTGGAATTTTACCCAAGGTGACTTCACAGCACATGCAAATGCCACCCTCCTGATTGATTTGATCCCAATTGCACTTCGGATTTGCACCAAGTGCTCGGCAACATATGTTGCAACAGCTCAGTGGCATTGATCCTGGTCTGTTACGACACGTTCGCAGTCGACCAAAGACCAAGTCTGGGGTTTTCATCCAACAGTTCATCAACCTCTTTCCTATGGCCGAAGCCCAGAACTCCGCCTCTTCTCTCACCTGGACCTGGACTTCGAACCAAGGATCTGAGCGACATCATTGCTGGCCAACTCCTTCAAGAGTTCCGTATCCAAAACCTCGGGGGTCCCGGACGAGCTCGGGGCGGTCGAGCCTCCCGGCTCCCGAATTGGGGCCCGAGGCGAACAGACGGAGGATGGCGGCGTTTGGCTTGGCCAAGACGGTGAGGAATCAGGAGTGATTTTCTCGAAAAAGAAGGGCAAACTGGTGTAAGGGGCGGCATGTGTTCAGTACGACGTAAACTCAAAGACACTACCTATTATGTGGGGACACCCTATATTGTTTAGACTACCTAAATAGGAGGTCATGTTCACAGTACAGTATCTCGTTCGGACTACTCTAGTGTCATCACAAAAATGATCTCGTTTAAATGGGGGGGGCCCAGCGAATACTGATATTGGACCAACAAATAGAGCCTGGTGGGGCCGACTCCCTTGGTAAAGAATGAATAAAAGTGGGTGCTCATGCAAGACAGTTCGGTGTCTTGCTGCAAAGCCTACAGACCTGAGAAACTGCTGGACACTTGTCTCGACGCATTCTATACACAGGGCTTCACATTCTGGATTACCAAACTCGAACGACTCTCTATCAGCAACCCGTGTCTGACGTGTACTAGTCCACCCATAGTGGTTAGTGCGAGGAACTTGAGACACCAATAGGCCAACCAAAGGGTTCGTGGCAGTCCACACCTCCTTCAAAGTGGCACGAGTCTTCAAATTTGCCCTGGCAACGACTGTGTAGGCAGACTTCAAGCCCGTGAAGGACATGGAGCACCTGCGCCACCCGCGATTGATTCTAGTATGCAAACTCAAAATCCCAACAACCCACTTGAGATCAAGTGACTGTGGGTCAAAAAAGCGGACGCCCTGGTTGGTCATCCTACCACGGTTTGGTGAGGGAGGTTTTGACTCAGAGCCAAGAATCTTTCAGTCTTGAGGGAGGGTGTTGGGAGCCCTGAATCCCAGCCCGCCGTGCTGACGGGCGTTGCCGGGAGACCTGAACTCTGGCATCAGTGCTGCGCGGTCAAAAAAAGTGAAGAAACGGTTGGCACAAAGCCTCACGTTTTGAAACAACAATTCATTTCGAAGCCTTCCTGCCTGTCCGTGTAGCTGTCTAATGCCTCCAGAGCTGTTTTGAAGGCTGCCAAGTGGTCTTCCGTGGAATCGAAGTATGAGTCAAACTTGGCCCGAAGTTGCCACCAAGTCTTGTCCATACTATCCATGGCAAGCATGATGGATTTCCCTCGCACTTCCGCCAACACATCCTCCAAACGGGTGTCGGTTGCCTGGCTTCGCAGCCAAAGCTGTCTCTCCTTGCTCCTTGCGGCTGAGTGATGAAAAATGCCCAGCTGATGGGCTTTCGTCTTCATGACTTCAGTCATGGACTTCACATACTCTGCCACGTTCTCTGCCACATACTGCGATTCACTCATCTGTTCAGACGTGGTGACTCTCACAAGCGAGTGAAGCCTCCTGACCTTCTTCGACATGTGTTCGAGGTGCGATGAAAGGTTCGCAGCTTGTGCCTCCTGAGAGGGTGCAGGAGACACGCGGAGACGCTACGACGCAGCACCAGTTGAACCACTTCGGGCTACAACGACGCGCACAGAAACGCACAGACCCTGAAAAAAACGACGCTCCCCGGTTCAAACATATGGCTGTGGGTCCAAAAACCCGCCAAACCTCGGTAGGTTGACATTCTTTATAAAGGACTTGGTTCAGAACTTCGCTGGTCAACCAGGGTGCCCGGGTTTGAACCCACAGTCATATGAGGTTCAGCCCTACAGTCGCAGAGGTTCTTGCCAAGGATCGGTGTCCTCATGGAAGTGAGCAAGAAAGGAGTCAATACTTCGAGTCGTAGCAGCTGCGGTGAGAGGGTGCATCCGCGCTCTTTGGATCATCTGTTTCATCTCCTTAATTGGATGACATCTGCCACTACGCCGCTACATCTGGCTGGGAAACATGCCTGGCGCAATTCTGCTTGGGATTTGAGACACAAGAATCCCTTCAGGAAACAGGAAAATATACCATGAGAGTTCAAGAGCAGTCTCTTCCTTCCCTGTTGTCTCCGGCCACAACCACAGCTCTATATCCCAGCCAAAAACCTAGAAGCCCTTTCTTACAGGGAGTTTCCCAAAAAAAAGACTTCGCTCCCCCAACAAGCCCCAGTCTCCAACAAGCTG